CATCTCCTGACACATGTGTTTGATCAGCTCTAGTCACATGTTTGTGACTGTAGACTTGAGATGACATGCGGGGAAAAGGAAAGAAAATTACTCACTGCATTCGCAAACACAGCTTGTGTATGTTTTCCCAGAAATCAACGGAAAAAGATCAAATCAAAGATCTGCCAGATGTTACAAATTCCTGAAGCATTTTTTTCTTTACCAAAGCATGAAGCACTAAAAGCTGTAATGTGATCTTAACATCAGTAAGACCGTCTTTATCATTTTGACTAAATTTCACTCTTCTGAAACTAGGAACTCATTTTTAACAAGATAATTTAATAACTTATTTGTTTTGTCTTAAGGTGGCAAGGACATTTTAAGGTCATTATTGTATGTAAATCAGATAGAAGATTTGAATATTCATGTTTAGGTTGCCAGGCTCTATTGACAGACTTTTAGACTTGAGCTCTCTATTAAGCACTGAATATACTGTTTGTAAAAAGATAAATCATTAAATTAGAATATATTTTTGCTGGTAATTAGAGACATTGTAAAGTACTGAATAACAAAAAAAATATTGGAACCTGGCATGTTTTTTTATTTCAAATGCAGGAACAATAATAAAGCCAGAAAAAAATGAAGATTTTAAAATACTTCTGGAGAAACGATACCCAGTTTACTATTATTAGATTTGTATCTGAACGATACATATGTGCCCTTAAAAAGCAGCAGAACGCCAGCTACCTAAAAAGATAAGAGATGTACTTGAAAAACAAGTTGTCTCTTTAAAAACAATGGCACGAGAACGTAATTCTGTTGGGGTTTTTTTTTTCTTTGTGTTTGTTTTTAGGTTCTGGCTGCTGGTTTTTTTTTACCCACTTTTTAACAAGTGTCCGTGAAGCGCTCTGCGTGTCTTCGCTCTTCCAGCGTGCTCAGACTGCAGCTGCTCATTCACCCCGAATCACAGCGGCGCGCTCCGCCCTGCCTGCGCTCCCAGCCGCCCTACGTCACCACTCCGTGCGGAGAACGTAGCACGCAGGCCGATGGGAAGAGGAGGTGTTTGTGTTGGTTCTTGTGGTCAAATTTGAACGTGAAATCTGATAAAGTGAGTGCTCTTCTTTTAAATTGCATTACTTCTGGTCTAGATGCAGCTTTTAAGCTTCGCTATTAAAAAAAAAATAGCCATGCCGGGCGACAAGCTAATATTTGGCGTGCTAGGGATTTTAATTGCACGGCTAGAGTATAGTCGGAGGCCTGGCTTTGTTACAAGACATAGATTCCCCCTTTAGACAATTTGAAGGCTTTAGCGTATTTCTTTTACATTGCATGTTTCCTGTTCCGAAGACGTTTGACTCAAACCAGTCACCGGATTGATTTGTTAAATAAGCACCGCTCTGTTTCCTGCTGGAGTGGGTGACTTGCTGGTGGAGTCTCATTCAGACTGAATGTATTGTGTAGCGCCACGCTTTCACAGGGAACAATATTTTCCTATCCCGGATCTGTTTTTTAATTCACGATTTTCGTGAAGTTTCGTGTACATAAACATGCGTTAATATACGGAGGTAGTTTTGCAACCTTAGACAGAGTGCTGTTCGATTTAGTTTGAACTATTTCCCCCCGCGACAATGTACATCGTTGTGATCTGTGATTAATTACAATTAGGTTATTGTGCAGAGGTAGTAATATGGTATGAACTACATAATTGCTTCTGGTATCTTTTGATTTTCCGATTTAATGATATCCCCTAAAAGTACCCAGGTAAAGAATTTCAGACCTATCGGTAGAACAGGAAGGCTGTAGGTAGTCCTTTGATAATCATCAGAAGTGTTACCAGAAGTGTTGCAGTATTTTCTGATGTTTGAAGACCTAGAACAGTCGATATTGTTACGATACACACTTGTATTTGCAGTTTGCGAAATTGTCTTATATGTAAAATTCAGAGTTTTAGAAGAAAAGTCGTGTTTTGTTTCGCACTGTGAACTTGCATAAAAAATGCAAAAGCCTATTTGTGTTAGCTGAGCATCATTTGTTTCGAAAGTTGTATTGTCTTGTCTCATGGCTGTAAGGTTTCCACGGTTTGTTTTAAAATTATTCATATTAAAGTACCCTGCTGCGGTTCTTGCTATGAAACGACACTTTATACAGTAGGTAAAACGCCTGGTTTTCTTTTTTGGCCTTGCTTTTTATGATATATTTCCTCCCCGTTGTTCTATTTATTTTGTATTGAATTTATAATCCGTATTGGCGACATCTTACTGTTCTTTTCACAACGTAGGCTCTCCTTGCTGGAAAAGTTACTTTGCTTGTCCAGTACTGGAAGGAGCAGAAACAAAGCCGATTTTCTAACCTCTATTTGGAGTTTTGTTAAAATATTTCCTTTCATTTTTGACCAGAATTGCATGCTGAAACTATGTGGGCACGATAATTTTTTTTTGAAAGCCCTACTCTTCCTCAGTGTAAGGATGCAGTATTGTTTGAACAGTAAGAGTGCAAAATAAATGTTATAACGGTAAGAAGGGAATATTTCTTAAAATGAAAAGCAGATATGAGCCTGGTGCTAGCTGGGAGGCTGTATAATCTCTGTGCTCTCTGATGATGTGGGCCCTCTGGCTGATGGGTTCAGGACTACTGCTAACTGATTGAGGAAACATGGAAGACAGTACATTGTTTGGGGTTCAAAGTCCATCTTACCACCTCACACGCAAAACCGTAAGGCAACGATATGATGTGTAAAGGTGCACACTTCATCCATGTGCCCTTGAGCCCCTCCACTGACTGTTCTGGGGTACCCAGGTTTAGAAGGCACGGGCCAGATAACCTCTGTACTTGACAGTCAGTTGTGTGGCTGATTTAGGCGGGGGGTGGGGCGGAACAACTTTAATTCCTCTGTTATAGTTATGGATTTTACATTTACATGGGAGTGAGTAAGTGTGTCCCACTTGTCATTGTGTGCTACAGATAACGTTAAAGTCAAGTGCATTGTTATACAACAAAAACAATAACATGGTCCTACCAACTGTGGACTATCTCATCTAAAGCCTTCTACCTGATGTTAAGGCAGTATGAAAGTATTTGTAATACCTAAGGTCTAGGTAATGCCTTGATAGTGGTGACTTACTATGCGATGTTGTCACAGTCTGCATACATAGGGTATGTGAGACCTTGCCTGGGTCATCTGACACGGCTTCATTTTTTAAAATTCAAAATGAACGTTTTTAATTTCATACCTAATCTGCTAGCTGGATGATAAAATCTCCGTTAAGTGCTACGAGCCCTTGTATCCACATGGGGAGGATGAAGTTCATATTGGCTCAATGGAGGAATGGCCCATTCCTCTCTGACATCACTGCGTTGAGGGCAGTGTTCATGCTGATCGGTAGAGTATTTAAATTATATATAAAAAATAAATGGATACCCAATGTAAGTGCATTTAAAACTGAGACCAGAAAGCCCTTCTTCATACAAAGGATTGCGGTTGTCTGGTACAAGCTACACATCCGTGTTGTTTAAGGACGTACCCCGGCTTTATTCAAGAAACTTCTGAATGAGATCCTTGAATCAATTTGCTACTAACTGCCAGACAGGCTGGATGGGCCAAATGGCATTGTCTCATTTGTAACCTTTCTTATGTTCTGATGACCAGCATTTTTTTTGTATAAATATATAAGGTTTTTCATGTGACCTACTGTAAGTGACAGGTTCTTAATTGTTAAACGAGCAGGTGTTAAATAAATTGTAGACAATGCACCTTTGGTATCTGGGCACCTTTGTACCTCTTTAACAACTGAAAAGGGATAAGTTCTTGTAAATGCTGAATATATTTTTTCTCTTTAATAATTGCACCTTAATGAATTCTGACTTCTTATTGTTCACAGTGGAACGCGGTTCAAAGAGAAGACAAGTGAAGCCTTTGGCAGCTTCTCTGCTGGATGCTTTAGATTATGATAGCTCGGACGACAGTGATTTTGAAGTTGGTGATGCTTCAGGTAACTGCTATTAATGAATAACCATCCTTTTTTTACAAGCTGAAAATTACTCTTGTCACCAAGTGGGCTATTTATTTTATATAACCTTTTTTTAATTGTCACCAGTGAAATAATCTAAGGACCTAGCCAAGTTTAATTGTCATGCATTCAAAGAAATTGCATAGATGCATCAGGCTTTAATAATATTTTGGAGTTTCTTTGGAACACTTACATTACTAACTACATTAAACAAGGTTTGATTTAGTCACTGGAGACTAGAAAAAACATTCATTCATAATAATTTATAAGTATGCTTGTCATTTTAAAAACAAATCTCTTAAAAACTTATTTTTGGGAGGAAAACAAAGTAGAATTTTAAATAATTTGGCTTAAATTCACGTTGTGCTCCATTTGGGCTTTTATGACACAAGGACGATAGCTATGCCTTTAGGGAAGGTTTGTTTTGCTTTATGTGCCTCTGGTGGTAATTTTATAGTTTATTTTTAAGACATTATTAAAATACTTGTGTAATAAAAAAAATTTAACATCTTTTAGCTTCTTAATCAAAACTGCGTTCAGTTGTAGAATTTATTGTATGCTCTGATGGGAGATGTATCAACTTAAGCCTTAACCTAAGTGTATATAATTCGTCTAAAACTGAACAATCTTAATGTAATAGGGGGTAAGAAGAGCAAGACTACCCAAAACTTTCACAAACAGATATTGAGTTATATTTTTAGATATTTTTTTTCTAAGAATCGTGCAGAGCATTAGTGTCAGAATTTGTAGACTTGCAGCACACACGTACATATTAATTATAATTAATCTAAGTGATATTTTTCTTTCTGTTAAAATAGCAGAACTGTGAACAGTATGCAGCATTTTAAGTAGCTTTCCACTAAGCAGTTTTTTTTCTTCCTCCTCCTATCTGAATTAGAGCCATAATCCTTCCTTTTTTATCACAGTGAGTTCTTTTAGGTATTTCTTCATAACCTTAGCAACAGTGAATTATCATGGATACATTTCTTTATTTTTATTTCTTTTTAGTTATTTTTTATATATTGTAATACAGAATGCACTGGTATATCTACTGATTTAATTGGGTATTGATAATGGAATTCTTTTTTTTCCTGTTTATTGCTTTCTGAATAAAAATGGAGTAGAAATTGGAATGGAAATGGTATTGATTTTTTTTCAGAATAGGAAGTATAGATACCTCAATCATATATTGATTGAAAGGCAACGGAATGGCAAAATAAATATTAAAAGGCTGTGCAAGATAATCCTATTTTTTTCTTATTTGATCAGGATTAATCAGATTGTTCAAAGTGTGGTTAACAAGGAAGCAAATTATTTTTGTGCTGTGTCTTGATGAAGTGTGACAAGTGCAGCTCTCTTTGACCCTGCTGGGACTCGATCCCAGCCGCTGATGGGATCTTGGGATGCACAGCGCCCCTTGCTGGACAGTGGGTAACACCACCACGACAAAAGCAGGCTCCTCTGCAGTGGTGGAGTTTATACTGTCTAGGTTTCAGAAGAGGGTGATGTCACTCCCGTAACTTGTGCAGCGCGCTGAGCCCTTTCACAAGGGTGATGCCGGCCGAGTGCTCTCGAACCCTGAACTTTTCTTTGACATTGGGGTTGGGATGGTTATAATCTTAAACAGTGTTGTGATTGTTCTTTCTAACCTCTTTTAGAAGGGACAATTAAGTAAATTGATTAATAATCACTCTTTCAGTTTGAACAGCTTTACCGTGCACACAAATAATAAATAACCATCTCAGTGTAACTGTTCCACAAAACCATATCCAGCTTCCTTACTTCATAATATACCAATCTGCACTAATATGTTCACAAGAAACTCACACAGTTCCACAAATCAAAATACGGTAGCAATCATCTAGTGTTTGTTTCCAGTGAATTCTTAAAAAGTTGTTTTATACATTATACATACAGTTGTTTCGTACATCAGTGCAAAGGGACCTTTCATTTGAGTGCCAGTAGTACCTCTATTCAAATTGGGTTCTTTGGTTCAGCTGCAGTGCTGAAGGAGATGAGAACATGTCAGATTCTTTGGGGCTTGTTATTCATATTCTGAGTCTGCATTCTTACCAGACTTGCCTAAAGACTTGCAGAGGAGAGCAGAAGTAGACTTTGCATTCCGATGAGACAGGAGTGGGAATGGTTTTCCTCACCTTTCCACTGTGACTTTATTGACCAGGCAACAGATGGAGACATGCTGAGCCGAAGAATCTCCTTCACAGTCACAAAATCTCTGTAACCTCTGTGGCTGAGGGTTTCTGCTTGAAAACAGGCAAATATCTGATAATGAGATTTAAGAACTCCTGCTAATCCACGCTCTCTTGAGTATCACTTGCAGTAGAGTAGCAAGACGAGGCCTTTACATCTGGGAAGGAAGGAAATGTCAGCATCCTACTTTGGGAAATATTTTACTGCTGTTTTTGTTAATGCAACATTGCAGGATCCAAACTTTTTTTCCCTAACACTGTAAAGCTGTGTGTTTCATAAAAGAACATATCTGGCTTTTGAAAGAGGAGTAGATGCGTAAAAGTCCATATATCTTTGATCTTTCTTGTTATGAAATGAAACCATTTCTTTCTTCATTTTTCCTTAGAGATATTGCAAAAGAAAATTTCTGTGGCCCGTCATTTGTTTTTGGTATCAGCTGTGCAGCCTGTGAATTGGTTTTAAAGATGTATTGTGCTAAATCTGAATCCTGCTTGGATGAATATCTATAGAGAAGGCAGCAGTTGGACTCAAGCACAGCCCTTTGATTCACAGTTGATCATTATTACATTGACAGGGTCCGAAGGAAGTGCGAATGGGAGTGACGAGGATGGATCGAAGGAGAGCGCCGCCGGGTCGGAAAGCGACTCCGAAGCTAACGCTTCCGAGGACGAAGAGCCAGCTGGCGCGGACGAAGCTGGAGAGCCGGTTTCCGAAGAAAGCCCCAACGAAGAAAAACCGAAGGGACAGTCTGTCGAAGCTGGAGAGAAAGACGAGGAGGGGGCCACCAGCGACGAAAAGCAAGCCGAGGGAAGCCCCGAGATGGACCCTGGCGCCAGCGCCAACCCTGGAGCCAGCGGGAGCGCGGAAGAGTCGGCCTCGGAGCCCAAGAAGTGGAATTTGCGTCGCAATCGCCCCATGCTGGACTTCACCACCATGGAGGACCTGAACGAGATGGACGACTACGACAGCGAAGACGACAATGACTGGCGGCCCACAGCCGGCAAGAGAAAGGGCAGATCCACAGCGCAGAAAGGGGGCAGCGAAGAGGAAGACGATGGCAGCGGGAGTGACGAAGACGAGGATAACGAAGATGAGAACGAAGACGACAGCAGCAGTGGAAGCGAAGATGAAAATCCTAAGAAAACCAAAGGCCCCAAAACCCACAGTGCTGATGATGAAGAGCTGACCAACGACAGCTTGAGCTTGTCACATGGAAAAAACACAGAGGTAACAGACCTTGGTCTGGCTGTGATGATGGGCAGCAGTGTGGCGCAGTGGGTAAGATTTTGGATTCATAACCAGAAGGTTGTGGGTTCAAATCCCAGGTGAAGCTTCTTTAAGCAAACACCCTGCTTTATAAATGGCTGCAAATTTGTCACTCTGGATAAGCAAAAGTGACACAAATATCCTTTAAAACATTACTAGTACAACAGCTATTTGTTGAGCTCCTAAAAATGTTTTTTTTTGTTATTTTCTAGATGTTCACCATAATCTGTTCCAAATGGTTTTATTGTAATTGATAAAAAAATCGATTGCAAAAAATTGCTCTTTTGCCTTTTTAAAGTTTTTTATATTAAATCTGCTTAACGTGCCTAGATAATTGTTGCATCTCATTGGTATATGGAGTACAGAATAGAATCTGGATTGGCAGAGTACAAGGAAAAACATATTTAGAGATTAAATGGAAAAATATAAAAATGCTGAAAACAAACAATCAGCCCAGACTAATTAGAGATATTGTTTTTTTTTGTTGTTTTGTTTTTTCCCCAAGCAAAAAGTTATTAGGCTGGTACTCCAGGCTGTTTTTTAACAAGTGTTTCTTTTTCCTCAAAATTGTAGGATTCCTTGCTGCTTGACAAAAGCCAGAACTGGAGCTCACAGAAGATGGATCATATTCTGATCTGCTGCGTTTGTTTAGGTGATAACAGTGAAGACGCTGATGAAATTATACAGTGTGACAACTGTGGAGTGACAGTGCATGAAGGTAACTATATCGGTGTTTGCCCTTCTTTTTCTTGTATTGATAAAGGAGTATTCAATTACTTGTCAGGACTACAACAAAACTTCCTGAATTAAGGGGATTTGTCTAAGCACTTGTTTTTGGTTGCATAAAGAAAATGTTGAAAATCTAAAAGTACCTCTTGGATTAAGAACAACATCTGACAAGTCTGTCATATTCAAATAAAGGTTGCAGAAAATGTACCAAAACAGTGAAGCTCTCATTGCAAAATGAGTGAACTATGTAAGGAGCTTAGTTTCTGCTGTACTTTTGTGCATTGTTACATGACAGATATTTTATTTTTCCATTTTCTTGTACTTCGACATTTTTTATTGTGATTCTGCTGGAGAGAAAGATTTGAATGTCACCCTCCAGAAGACCTCTTAATCATGTTTACTTGAATATTTTACCTAACGTTAATATATTTGTCACAAATGTTATTTATAGTGGTAATTGTGATGGTCCTTAGTGGCACTCATCACGTTACAGAAGTTAGATCAACCCCTTGAAACCTAGGTGGAGCAGAATTTCCCCTCAGCAGGAGGCCAGATCTTGTGGCACAGCGCAGTTTGCCTCTGCCTAATAAGTGGTGCTGAGTCTGTCTGAAGCCACGTGATCAAGCCCCATTGGGAATGGCTATAGCTGCTGTTTTTTCAGGGGTCATTACTGGTGTGCTAGTACCAACTGCGTTATTCCTGATGTGCTCTAAAGTTAGTAAGAAAATCGTGCCCTCATGTCTGTTTTGATTATTAACCTGTTTAAACAAAAGCTGTTTTCTATGGACATTAAATTATCTCCAGCTTCACACAGTCTTCATTGGCTAGATATGTAATTCTGCTTTTGAAACTTAGTTTTACACTAAGTGTTTAACTAAATCTGTGATGTTAACCTTGACTGTCCTATAAATAACTGTTTTTAGGGATGAGATGATAAATGTGCAAGTTTCTATTATAAATTTGAGCTGAAATATTTCACTGTAAGTAACTGAGGTGTGTGACACATCTATTTTCTTAGTATCGTGTTTTTGTAATTCAAAAAGTGGGAATCAGGACAGAAGCAGAAAATTGAACATATTTTTTTATTATTTTGTTGAACTATGTTTATAAAACATTTAACCGGGATAAATCCACATGGAGTATAACTAATACGTTTTGAAGCTCTCAGTTTGCCTGGTACAAAGGTTGACATTGTGAAGAAAAAAATGAATTGATTAAAAAAGACTAGAAGAAAAACTAATACACTCTTTAAGTGGTGCAAGTAATACACTTGGTAGCTGCCCTTGAGAACTAAACACAAAATTAAATGGTTAAAAACTAGAGCGTACAAAGGAGATTTAAGACAGCTTGAAAAATCTAATATGAGCAGGAAGATCATTCCACGGCCTGGCAGCTACAGAACAGAAAGCCTGGTCGACTCAGAGTGTTCGAAGCCTGGTTTTGGGAATGGGAAGAAGACTAGACTCCAAAGAGTGCAGGTTACATGTACAGAGATTTACCAGTTCACAGCTTTGTTGTAGTAACTAGTTACTGTAGTAGATAATGATTAAATTAGGAATATGCTTGCTAGACTGTAGTTTATTGTTTGACGATCATTAAAGCATGGACATGGGTTAAGATGACATAGATTATAAGTAGGGACTAGTATTAGACGTAGCGATACGTAGTGTATAAAATTAAGTCACATTTAAATTTCCTTAACAGAGGGTTTAGGCTAGGGATGAATGCGATGTAATTAGTGGTGTACCGCAGGGATCTATACTAGGACCACTGTCTTCCTAAATTATATCAACGATCTAGACTATGAAATAGTTAAACTAGTCTAGTTCTCAGATGCTAACAAATGAGGAAGATTATCAAGCACTGAATAAAATTAAAAAAGTTAATGAAACATGTGGCAGAAGACTTTTGATATAGACAAGTACAGAGTATTACATGCAGGTGAAAAGCAACAAAGTATAGGTAAAAATTAGAAACGCTGAGCCTGGAGAGGTGTTTATGTTGACAACTCATTTACATCTTCTAGATAGTGTTAAGAAACAATTAAAAAGGCCAACAATGTCAATATATATGGTTAAAAGCATATAATTAAATCCAGTGATGTTATGTAATCTGTAAATATTGTATACAATTTTGGTCACCATGTTATATAAAGGATGTTGCTGCTCTAGAATCTGCCTAGAGAAGAGAAACCAGATGCATTTTGGAGCTTAAGGGAATAACTTAAATTGACAGGAACTAAGCCTTTTTAGTCTTGAACACAGAAAACTACAAGACAACATGATAACATGGTACAAGGAGTCAAAATCCTCAAAGGTATTGACAAAGTTATTCCAGTGGATTACTTCAGAATAAATAGTAATTGGAGGACACGAGTGGGAAACCATGTGGACGTGTATTTAAATCCATCAACAGGAGAACGGAATATGATTTCCTACAAAAAATGGCTGGATGAGATTTTTGGATTAATTAACTACCGAACGAGCTTGATGAACCAAATGGTTTCCTCTCATTTGTAACTGTCTTATGTTCTGAAGCTTAGTTGGCAAGAAGTTACGAGCTTCAGCAGGAGAAGAATTTAATTCTTGGTAGAGGCAGCGAAACACTAAGTCTGTTTAAAGCACATGCTCTTAAGCAGTCTTCAGAAACATTTATATAATTTCTAGTGTGAGTAATAGCTGGGCTCCATTGTCTTGGACAGCATAGTTCACAGACACATAGCTACAGTCATATATTACCTTTTCATATGTGTGTCCTTCAGCTTAGTAAGGAGCACCATTCACAATTTTTTATTGTCTTAAAATGTTAGTGCAAGATCTGATTCAGTTCTCTGAAGTTGTCAGGAGAATCGGGATCTGAACTATTTGTTGGTTTTGCTTTTTTCTCAGAGATTTTGTGTTGAGGTCTATTTTTGTCTTACTAATTTTTTTACTTCTTACTTTCTTAAATCTTAAATTGTCAAATCAAGAGTGCTTTTTAATATTTGAAGGACAGTAGTAAACAAACATGGAAAGCAAGGTTGGTACAGTTTAAGTAAGCAAATATATATATGATGTGAAAGTGCATAAGGCTTTCCTTTGTTAAGAATTACAAAGATAGCAAACCATCAGTTTGACTTGAGTTTGAATGTATTGAATAAGGTGACTTTAAGAGTCTGCTCTTACAAAAGTTTAAGCTTATATACTTCTGTAAGCATTTGAATCCTTACAAAGTACATGCTTATTAAAGCAGGATTTTACTCCATATTCCAGACATCCAAGGGAGTTGAATTCTCCCTGCTGACTTAAAAAATGGGAGGTGAGTGCTGTTTTGGAGAATTTAAGATCTTATTATTATATTTTATAATAATCCTCTTACAGGCCATTAAGGATTGAAATAGCTACAGAGTACCTTGACCTGTATGTTTTTCAATTAAATTATTTAAGAGAAAAAACTGTTTTATTGTCTCTTGCTTAGCTGAGACTTCAAATTGTATGTATATATATATATCTGTCAATTTCTGGTACACTGCTCAGTTATGTACATTTATTCTTTTCATTTAAAAAGGAGAGAGAAATGTTTGACTAACCTTCTCCATTCTAGGCTGGCCAGAGATTAACAGAGAAGGGGATGCCTAGTTGAATTATCGTTGACAAAGTGCCAAGTGTGTATGATACTTTCTGACATGACATCCTTCATTGTATTGCTACACTAAATCAGAGTGTAACCTTGAAACAGCAAGTGGCTTTGATGTACCAAAACAGCTTTGCAATGTCAGCCTTCTGAGTGACATAGAGAATGCTAAAGCCGCTCGATTACTCTGGTTTTACTATTAGACAAGATAGGACCGTCTCAAGGAATGTGGCTAGCTTCTAGCTTATTTTCTGTTTTTCTTTTCAGTATTAATTATTTTCAAATATTTTCAATTTGTTAGGGGTAGGTAGCACTATATGAAAATGGGATTTGAAGGTAGAAGGCCGTTTTTTTTATCATTTTAAATGGTACCATCTACAGTATTTGTTTTTCTTGACTGTCAGGCCTACCTCTCATCAGGTGGCTCATGAGGCCTAAGCACATTCAAGGAGACTTTTTCTAACAAACGTTTGCAGTACACAGCAAAGGAAAGTGCAGGGTCAGCCATTTATACGGTGCCCCTGGAGCAGTTGGGATTAAGGGCCTTGATCAGGGGCCCAAAAGAGTAGGATTCCTCTTCCAGCCACAGGATTTGAACCGGCAACAGATCCTTAGCCACAGGGCCATCTTGCTTTCTAGCCTGTTCCTTTCTAGCATTCAGTTCAAAAGAGGTAATAAAAAGCCTATATGTTCAACAAATTACTGTTTAACATAATTAATAATGCAATTACTGTTTATGGGTTGATTATTGCTTGTTTTTCTCATTTAACACATGGTCAATAACTGATTGGACAGATGCAATGGACATGTTAATAACTGGTGTACACACATCTACTGTGTTTGAAAGATAAATACATGGTAATAGCATAAACAGTTCAGGAAAGCTTCAAGTAGAAGCCTTTTTTCTATTAAAGTCATGCAGTAAAGTCGGTGGAGTATAGGCAGTATGAGTTTAGTCAAGTAATGTACAGTTGATACGGAATGTGAGAACCTGACATACACTCAAGCCGCAGAAAGAAATGATTGTAAATTCTTGCAAAGAGTCATTTATCAGAATGGTCAGGTCTAGTAATATAAACTATATGGAGCACTATGTAAACCAGGAATGACTTTGTTGTTGTAGGTTTTGTCAAGCATATTAATATGAGCTACTGTGTAAAAAAAGCAAACACATAATGCAATAAATAGACTCCATTAATTTAAATAATAAGCTTAATATGTGGTTCACTGCAATGGAAAATTTCACCTCAAGTTCAAGAACATTAAATGCAGAACATTTTTCCCGTTAACTAACTACGCACATTTATTATAGCATTTAATTCACCCACTTGATAATGTGGGCCTCTGCTCCGGCAAAGTTACTGAACTCATAAAACA